GCTCCACCGCGCACGCGAGCGACGCAGCAAGACGGGATCGCCTGCGCGGACATTGTCAGGAGGGGAAAAAGAGACAGGCTCAATTCATCGGCGACTCCCGGGAAAGTACGGGAACATATGGGAAGTGGGGGGAAGACGAAAACCCAGAGGACATACATTGGAAGATGTGGGGAGTCCTGGGACATGTGTCTGTTTCTTTGTGTGTCCCTGGGCCCCTTGACACTGGCGCGTCAGCGGCCCGCGCGAGGTCCCGCGTGAGCGCCCTCGTTCCCGCGGAGGCGTGCCGCGCTGGCGGCTCGCCTGGGCCACCGCGCTGGCTTCCGCCGCGTCCCCGCGCGCGGCGCCCGCTCCGTGCCTCGTCGCTCGCGCGCCCTGCCCTCGGCCGGGAGGACCTCCGTGGCCCGCGGCGGCCCCTGCGGAGGAACGCCTCCGAGGCTGGGCACCGGCGACCCCCCCTCGAGCGCGTTTTCTTACCCCCCCCGCGAATCACGTAGGGCTCCTACGTTGTGCGTCCGCCGCCCCCCCGCCCCTCCCTACCCCCCCCCAGCGTCAAGTCGGGCCCGTCCCTCTACAGGAGGAGTATTCAAAAATAGTCGCAAAATTGCCTGGGGACTTTTTTTATGTAGTACGTTGTGACATTTTTTTTTTTTTTTTTTTTTTTTTTTTTTTTTTTTTTTTTTTTTTGCGTATTTCCAATTTTTCCTCCAAGATCCTCTTGTAGGGGGACACGCCCGACCTGACCCTGGCGCCCGGCATCGCCGCGGATAGAAAAAAAAAAGCTCTCCTCCAGGCAAGTTCCTCAGCACGACCGGCGGCGTCGGGGAGCCGCTGAACGTCCCTGGGGCTGCAGGGAAACCAGCCGCGCAGTCTCCGCTCGCGAGTCGCCGCGGCGCCGCGCCGTGGGATTGGGCCCATCTGCCTGCGGCGAACCCCGTCAGCAGCTTCGTTCTCGTCAGGAGCGTCGTTCTCATCTCTCTCCTGTCTGCGGCCTCTCCTGCGGCTCCTCCCCTCCCTCGTCCCTCCAGCAGGGATCTCGGAGGTCTTTGGGGGGGCTTTCTGGCGGCCGCTTGAAGGTCTCTCGGGTGTCCGGGGGCGTCTTGGGCCAGTCGGGGGTCTCGGGGGCTTTTTTGGGCGCGATGCTTCCACAGGGCTCTCCCGAAGAGGCTCGGTATGGTGGTGGCGTCCGACTGGGTTTTTGGGGATTGTCTCAGAGTTTTCTTTCAGGGGAGTGAGCGTTCATGGTAGTGGTACGTTCGGTTCACGATGTATTCCAGGATCTCCAATAATTCCTAGTGTTGGCCAACGTGGACCCCAATCCGTGAGTTGTTTAGCAACATGTGTTGTGCAACATATGCGGTGCAATCTATGTTGTGCCATATATACTGTGCAAATTCTGTGGTGCGATCTATGTGGTGCAATCCACCTTGTGCAGTATACGATGTGCAATATACGTTGTGCAACCCATGTGGAGCAATCTATGTTTAATTTCTGTTCGCAGTGAGTTGTCCACTTCAGTGCTCGCGCAAACCATCCCACTCACCCACCCGCAAGTTGGTTTGCAAAATGCTTTCGGCGGCGATTGCGATGAGTGCTTGGAGTTGGCTGGTGCATCTCTGCGGCCGCGCTGGCCTGCGCATGCTCGCGCGCGCAGCGGCCAGCTAGTTTGGCGCGGCAGACGCGGTCGCGGATGCGCTGACCGCTGGGCACTTCCCAGCGGGCACGTCAGTGCAAGTCGGCGACTTGGGCGGTCGCGGTGTCATGGCAAGGTCGGCGACAGTAGACACGATGATGCTTATAGCGATGCGAGTGGCGATGGTGACAACGACGACGGCAAGGCCAGTGACGGCGCCGATGCTGATCACGCCGACGACGATGACGGCGCCCTCGCGTCGGCGATGAAGTTTTGGAAGGACATGCTCGCGACGCCGACGCGCGAGAGCGGCCCGCATTGTTTTGTTTGACGCGGATCGCCCCCCCCCCCCCCCCCCCTTCCGAAGCACGCGCGCAAGGGCGTTCGAATGATGTCGGCATGCGGCGCGAGAGGCTCGTTTGACCGAGTCTAATAAACATGCTGAGAACTTCGATGGTCCCCCAAGGATTCGCAAGAGCGCGGGCGCAGGCCCATTTTGAAAGCAGGCGTTGCAAAACCATGCGTTTGCATGTGTCCTCGGGGCACTCGATGTTTGTAGCCCGTGGGGCACCCACAGTTGTGAAGGATTCCGGCATGCGCGCGCACGACGACGCGTCCGTGTGCGTGTCGTCTCTGTCTTTTGCAATGGATTCTTGCGACAACACGCGCGCAAAAGGGCGTTTGAACGATTTCGATATGCGCGCGCCTGGCGTCCATTTGGTAGATTGTTATGAACATGCTGAAAAGCAGTTGCGGTCCGCACGGGTTCGGTCGCAGTTTTTTTGTTGGGAACTCTTGATGCGAGGTCATGTTTTGATGCTTTTGTTTTTGGTTTTTGTCACATGTTTGGGGGCACCCGATTTGGACATCCTGACGACATGTAATGTTTTTTTTTGTTTGAAGGATTTCGGCATGCGCGCGCGACCGCGCGCGAGTGTGCAGGTCGTCCCGTTTTTTTCGGCTGAGGGGGTTCGAAAACGGATGATGCGTGATAAACGAGTGCGCGCGCATACCACTTTTCCCATACGATGAACCGGGAACGATCCCAGGCTGTTTGGGAAGGTCTGAGTTCATATTTTGGTTGGGCGATAAGGGGCACAAACGTATGTAGTTTCAACCCGGAAAATGGGATCGTTCAGTCCGGGCGGGGGGGGGGGCAGACCCCAGAACCTTTCGAGACAAGGGGAATATATGGTGACCGATCTAAGTGGTGCAGTCTACACCTTAGGCGATGCTTAAGAAAACCGAAGTTTTCGGCCAGAGTCTCGATTATTCTTAGCGTTTCCATGTAAATCTTCAGGTTTTAGTGGAAACGTTGGGTTGTCATTCAAGTTCTGAGACTATGAATTTCTTAACCCATGATTTCTTAAGCATTTCGCAGGGTCTATGTTGCGCAATCTGTGCCGTGCGGTGTCTGTTGTGCAATTTGCGCTGTGCGGCCCGGGCGGCGGCGAGGCTGCGACGGGGCGGCGACGCCGGCCTCGGAGCCGCCAGACAGACCCGCGGGCCCTCCTTCTCCTCCTCCTCCTCCTCCTCCTCCTCCTCCGCCTCCTCCTCCCCCTCCTCCTCCTCCTCCTCCTCTCCTCCTCCTCCTCGTCCTCCTCCTCCTCCTCCTCCTCCTCCTCCTCCTCCAACGAGGCGGCGGTGGAGCGGCGACAGCGAAAACGGGTCCGCCAGACTGACCCGCATCCCCAGTTCGCTAGAAAATGCAAGTCAGAGCCCCACATCATCAGGGGTAACTCGGGTCAGGGATAACTCGGGTTCGTTTTTCGGGAATCCGAACCGAGTTATCCCGGACCCGAGTTACCCCGGATAACTCGGGCGTCCAGAGCCCCACATCATCAGGGGTAACTCGGGTCAGGGCTAACTCGGGTTCCTTTTTCGGGAATCCAAGCCCGAGTTACCCCGGACCCGAGTTACCCCGGATAAATCGGGTGCCCAAACAAGGGAGAAGCCCTAAGCGCAAGCTCCGTTTGGGGAGCATCCCGCACGGGCTCCACACACAAGGGCCGCCAGAAGCACCATCGTTCCTTCGGCGTCACCTTCAACATTCTTCTACTACGTGTGCGTCGCCCCCCCCAGGGGCGACGCGCGCACCGAGAAATCTTATAGTATATGCGTCGTGGCGGGCGCATTCTGGCCACACCGCTCGGGGAACGATCTACTACAATATGGGTATACTGCATGTTCGGGTCGGACGCGCGCCTCCAAGGAGGACATATAGTACTACTAATATGTCTCTGTGCGTCCCATTCCTGGAACATATCCTGAGCCAATCATATCACGATCGCCTCCCCGTCCCACTGGTAGGCCGCCCTGCGCGGTTGTCCAGATGCCGTGGGGCCGTCGGGGGGCTCTCTTGGGGCAGGGCGCGCTGTGCCCCAAGCAACTAAAAGGGCTGAGATCCATCGGAAGGACACGCCTTTGTCTCTCGCGTGTCTTTGGTGCTTCTCGCTCGCGAGGCCTCGCATAATGCCTCGTTGGGCGTGTCGTGGAGGCTTCCTGGAACCATTGAGAGATTCTCGGGTGGTTTTGGAGCCTTTGACAGCTCATCGGGCCGTCTATCGGTTGCCGGTGGCCTTTGGCCGCCTAGAGGCCGAAAGAGCGCCCAGAAGCAAAACGAGAGGGGGGGACTCTCGGACCCCGTTCGATGGGAGGGGGATACGTCGCCCTGGAACATGACAACAGTACAAGACAGGCAACAAGCTTTCCAACACGCTGCAGGGTGTTTACGGCACGGTGGCTGATGCATATGCACATCTACGTTTCTGAAGTTTGATGTCTCCCCCAATCACCGAGTTTCGCCCAAAATGTCGTGCCCGCTCAGAAGAAGGTGACAACCCTGGGATACACTCCAAGGGGGCTATTCGGACGCACCCCTATCGAGGATGGACGCCCCCCCCTACCGTATATCCCAGAGTTGGGCAACAGATATCTGGTCCATTCGAAAACACTACGAAGCCTGGGACAGGGGTCGACATACCCCCTTTTGTATTGTAGCCATCATGTGTTGATATTGGTACGTCTCTGTCCACTGTCCTCCTGCTCCTGCCGCTCCTCCTCCTCCTCCTGGTATCTCCTGCTGCTCCTGACCCTCGCCTCTTCTGCTCCTACTACCCCCCCTCCGCGTCTGCAGTCACGTTACTCCTCGTCCTCCTGCCCCCCTCCCAGTCCCCCTTACAGTCAACCCGCACAGTAAGCATGAGCACCTTCCCAAGGCTACCCCTGCATCCCTTCCCTTCGGCCCGTCCTTGGCCGCTTTTGCTGGCCGCGCCCCGCCTGCAAAGCGCCGACCTGGCCTCCAAAGGCCCCTTGGCATCCCTGCCGTGCGTCCTTCTGCTGCGGGTGGACTGCACCTCCGCCGCCCGAGATGGCGCCGGGAAGCGACCCCGCGGAGGAGCCCTCCACGGGCCCTCGGCGAGTGGCCCTTCTCCCTTCGGGGCCAGCGTGCGCGTCGCTCCGGGTGGCGTGCTCGCGCCACACTGGCTCCTCCACGGCCGTCCCGGCCCCCGCCGCGCCTGCTCGCCGTCTTCGCCCTCTGGCGCCCACGGCGCCGCCGGCTCCTGCGCCTGCTCTCCCCCTCCCTCGTCTCCCTCCCTCCCTCCCTCTTTCCCCCTCATTCCCTCCCTCCCTCATTCCCTCCCTCCTCATCTCCCTCCCTCCCTCCCCCTCTGCCTGACCTCCTCCCTCCTCCCTCCACCGCCCCCCACCGCCCCCCCGCGGGCGGTCCTCCTGCTGCCCCTCAGATCCCACGAGAGGTCGGTTTCTTCGCCGTCCGGCCGAGCGCCGCGCTGCTGCGCGCGGCGGAGCTGTGGGCGGAGAACCTGACCTTCAGCGGGCGGCCAGCGAGCGAACGAGGGCGGAGGGGGGAGAGACGGACGAGGAGGGATGAGGACGATGATGATGTGGATGAGGATGAGGATGAGGATGAAGGTGATGGTGATGGTTGTGGTGGTGGTGGTGATGAGAAATGATGCTGATGCTGATGCTGATGCTGATGCTGATGCTGATGCTGATTATGATGCTGATGCATGATGCTGATGCTCATGCTGCTGTTGATGGTGATGGTGATGATGTTGATGGTGATGGTGATGCTGGTGCTGATGGTGGTGATGAAGATGATGCTGAGGATGATGATGCTGATGATGTTGATGACCATGATGATGACCATGATGCTGCTGATGCTGATGCTGCTGCTGATGATGTGAATGACGACGATGATGGTGATGATGCTGCCGATCATGATGCTGCTGATGATGATGCTGATGATGATGCTGCTGCTGCTGATGATCATGATGATGCTGATGATGCTGATGATGATTATGATAATGGCGGTGATGATGATGATGATGATGATGATGATGATGATGATGATGATGATGATGATGATGCTGCTACTGCTGATGATGATGATGATGGCGGTCGTGGCGGTGGTGGCGATGGTGATGGTGACGGTGATGGTGATGTTGACGATGGTGATGGATAATATGGGAGCCGCCACCTGGTGGAAGCGGATGGGGGGAGGGGAAGCATGGAGATGAGGGGCTAAGAAGCGGGACGAAGGGAAGGAGGGTGGAAGGGGTGGGACAGGGGGGGGATACAGGGAGCGGGGGTGAGGAGGGAAGGGAGTGCCTCCCCCCCCCTGCTTCCTTCCCCCCTCCTCCCCTCCTCCTTCCTCCTCCCCTCCTCTCCTCCTTCCTCCTCCTCCTCCTCCTCCTCCTCCGCCCACCTCCTCCTCCTCCTCCTCCTCCTCCTCCTCCCCTCCTCCTCCTCCCCCTCCTGCTCCTCCTCCTTCTCCTCCTCCTCCTCTCGAGGGTGCGCGGCGATGCCGCCCCCCGCGCTCGAAGCCCGCACACCCCCTCCCCGGCACCAGGGAGACCGGCTGGGGCGGCCTGGGCTTCCTGCCCTCGCTGGACAAGTTCGTGGGGGCCGAGTGCGGCCAAGGAGGGGGCCGGATCATAAGCCTCCCATGATGGGCCAATTTTCCCCACCATTACCACAGGTAAGAGGGGGGAGAAGGGAGAACGGGGAGGTCCTCCTCCTCCTCCGCCTCCTCCTCCTCTTTCTCCTCCTCCCTCTCCTACTTTATGGTAGTAGTGGTGGAAATCGGCCCATCAACCTAGATGGGTTCGGAGTAGATGAAATCGGAGGATCGCGCCGCAACGCCGATGCAGCGGCGATGCATCGACGATGCGGCTTGACGCGGAGCCCGAGTTTCTCAGCGCTGACGTCGCCGACGCACCGCCGACGTCGCCAGTGCATCGCTGATGTATCGGCGGTGCGGCGCGATCCTCTCATCTACTCCAGCCACATCTAGGAGGCCTCTGGATAGGGTTCGGGGCTTAAGAGACGGGGGTCAATACAAACGGGGTCAGTCAGAGCGTGGGATCTTGCAGGAACTCTGCAGGGCCAAGGGTGCACTGACCCGGGCTTGGGCGCAGGATCCTGCAGGATCCTGCAGGATCTTGCAGGATGCTGGACGGCCCGACTGACCCGGGTCTAGACCCCGAGGGGTTTTCGAATGTTTCCGTCGGTTCTCGGCGGTTTCCCAGCCTCGAGATGCCTTCCAGCAGCTGCGCCTCGTTACGCTGCATCTTCGGGGGACCTCGCCTGTCCCCCAAATAGTGTCTTTTCTTGTGCCCGGCGCGGGCTCGATGCGAACTCGACGCGGATTCGGCGTGGCTTCGGCGCCGATTCGACGCGGATTCGACACGGATCCGACGAGTCCGACAGGGATTCGCCACGGATTCGACGCGGATAGGGCCGCGACGGGACGGACGAGGCCCCCCGAGAATGCAGCAGAAGCTTCGGTGAGGGCGTTCTGGGGGTGCTGGAGTAGGTCCACACGGCAGCCAGAGAGCCGAGTGTTGGTCTGCAAAAATCCAGACGATGAGTATCGTAGGGGGGGGATAGGATCGGTGGGGGCTTAGCATCGCTCGGACGTGTGCATTTTTCCTTCGGCGAGGGCCATCGAGGAGCATCCTTGATCATTTGGCAAAGCAACCACGCACGAAACCGACAAAAACAGGGAATGGACGTCCGAGCGATGGCCAGGGGGGTGCATCGACCCCCAATCGTCCATTGATCGCCGATAGGATCTGATAGCCCCACCCCGCCCAGGAACTTGGGGATTCGCTGTCGGGGGCCTATCGCCGATCTGTCGGCGATGCATCTTCGATTCCAGGTCGATGTTCCATTCCTACGCCAGTCATTCCCTACCGTTACCCCTCAAAGGAAGGCTCGAGGGTCGAGACCAGATCTCCATGGCGGGATTTCCTCGACTTCGGCCCTTGGGGGCATTTTCCGGGCACCAGGATTATTCAGAATGGACCCGGGACGAATATCGACCCTCCGGAGATGCGGTCGGGACCTTCTCGGACGGGGCTATATAGGACGAGGAGAATCCGTTCCGGAGCGTTCCGGAACGCCCTCAGGTTCCGGAACGCTGTGAGAAGGCCGCGGCGCCCGATGACGTCTTCCAGAACCGCTCGACTTCCGGGATTCTCGATTGATATCCTCGCCCGAGCCTTGGCATCGCTCGGACGTGTGCATTTTTCCTTCGGCGAGGACCATCGAGGAGCATCCTTGATCATTTGGCGAAAAAACCACGCACGAAACCGAGAGAAGCACTGGGAATGGACGTCCGAGCGATGGCCAGGAGCTCGTCCTCGCCCTGGCATCGTCTTCCCTCCCCGGGCCGCGCAGGGAGCTCTCCCCGCGGCGGATGTCGGGGCCCTCTACAGGGCGTCTGCCGCTCTCCCTCGGCAGGGGGTCCGCCTCGCCGCCGCGGCAGGCTGGGCCCTCCCCTCGATTCGGCACGAACGAACTGGGCACGGAAAGCAGTACACCTTAGGCGATGCTTAAGAAAACTTAAGTTTTCGGCCAGAGTCTCGATTATTCTTAATGTTCCAATGTAAATCTCAAGATTTTGATAGAAATCCTGGGTTTTTATTCCAGTTCTGAGACTCTGAATTTCTTAACCCATGATTTCTTGAGCATTTCGCAGGGTGTACCCCGAAGTAGTCAGAGCATCGCCCCCGCACTTTTTTCTTGAGCCTTCCCCCCCCCGTGGAGGGACACGCCCGACGGAAGACGTGCTTCCGACTGCCGGGCCTCCCGCCGCCGCGCGCGCCGCCGTCGGAGGCCGCCGGGGGCCTCTCCACGGGCACCGCCGGGGGCCTCCACGGTGAGAGCTGGGTACAGTGCCCAGCAGCAGCTCTCCCTAAGGGCTTGTCGACTTTTCGCCGATCGACTTGTGGGGAGCGAGCCAGAAAAATTCAGGTAAATGCAGATAAATCGAGGTAAATGCAGAGAAATCCAGGCAAATCGAAACAAATCCGGGTAAATCCAAAGATCATGGGTTAAGAAATTCATGGTCTCAGAAATTGAATAAAACCCAGAACTTCTATCAACACATCTTGGGATTTACATTGAAAAGTCAAGAATAATCGAGACTTTGGACGAAAACTTAGGTTTTCTTAAGCATCGCCTAAGGTGTACAGTGCCCAGCAGCAGCTCCTGTCCATTTTGAACCGGACTCGCTGTCGGTGTCGCCGCGGCCTGTGCCCACTTGGGCCAGAAGGCCGCCTGCCCAACAGCGGCCGCGGTTGGTTTGGGGCAGCATTTGTTGTCGGGCATTGGACGAGATTTGGGACGCCCATTTCGGATTGGGACGGCCCAAGTCCGAGATTGGTCGCTTGGGCCAGAAGGTCGCCTGCCCAACAGCGTCGCATTGAACCCATTTTTCCGTACCCATTTCGGGCGTCCACATCGATGCTCCCTGCTGCGGCACCCTGGCGTCGCGGGCGGTTCTGCCCCGCTTCGGGCCCCCGGGGCCCTCACGGCTCGGTCCGGCTCGACACGTGCTGCAGAACAGCGGGCCCATCGGGCGGGGCCAGGACGAGGATACGACTATCGACCCTCCGGAGATGGGGTCGGGACCTCCTCGGACGGGGCTAGGACGAGGATAATCCGTTCCGGAGCGTTCCAGAAGGCCCTCAGAGCGTTCCAGAACCCTTCCGAGAAGACCGCCGCGCCCGGGACATCCTCCAGAGCCGCCGGATCTCGAAGATGTCTGACCTGTCCTCTCCCGGTTTGATCCTCGTCCGGGCTTCGTTTGAATCCTGACCCGTCTCTCGAGGCCCTCGTCGCCACCGCCCCGAAATTTTGGTCAGAACGCACCCCAGGAGTGGTCGGGGAGTAGCGGTATCGGTATTTTTTGGCTTCCCCAGGATCGCCGATGCCAGGTCGATGCTTCCCCCCCTTGAGCCGGTCCCCCCCGAATGTTCCCCCTCGATGGCGCCCTGGTAGCTACAGCTGGGCGACACGGCTCGAATGAGTCTCGTTTCACCGTTCCCTACCCCCATCCCTATCCTTGTGGAAGTCGATTAATGGAGAGGAAGCATGCTGCCAAATAATTTCCAAACGTCTAAGAGATGTTTCAAACATGTTGTAAACATGTTAAGAACATGTTTGTTTTTTTCCCAGAACATGTTTTACACATTTTAAACACATATGTAATTCAATGATCGGATTGTTAGAGTGTCCATTGTCATGGCATCCACAGCCCTATCCCCTATCAAGACCCCCACCATCTCGGCACCCCAGCTGGGGACATCTCCCTCGAATCCCGAAGGAAACGGCCTGTATCCCCATCTAGGGGTGCAAGTCGGCCAGTGGGGCCCATCCCACGTTCATGGGGACAGGGGTCGGTTCAATGTCAGGAGGGAAAAAAACACACAGACACAATTAATCCTCGATTCCCAGGAAAATATGGAGAAATATGGGAATTGGGGGGGGAAGACAAAAACCCAGAAAATATGAGAAAATATGGGGACTATTTTTATTTGTGTGTATTTATTTGTGTGTCCTGGGGCCCCTTCACAATGATGCTCTTGGAGCAAGTGGCCAGGACTCCGAGGGGGGCCCCGGGCTCCCCTCTGAGAGCGGACTTCGGTCGGGTGCGGGGGGGGGGTGCCGCGGCCTCTCATCGGGTGCCCATCGCCGATCGATGGGCGGCGTGTCGTGCCGGCGCTCCGACGCCCCGCCGCGGGCCAGCGAGGCTGAGCGCCGCCGGTGCCAAAAGTCGGCCAGTGTGGAAGGCTCCGGCGATCAGAACGCCGCCCACCGCTGTTTTAAGGCTGAGCGGTCCACGCGGCGTCGGAAGCCGACACCGGGGTCGTCACGGCACGACCCTGCCGCCGCCGACGCGAGCTCAACGCCTCCCCCCCTCGAGCTAGCCCCCGCCGTCGGTTCCTCTCCTGGGGGGCCACGTGCGAGCCCTGCCCCGACCCCCCGCGATTTCTGCGGGGGAGGGTGGGCTTCACTCCCTTCGGGAGCTCCCGAGCGACGTGAGCCCCACCCTCCCCCTGAGAGATCGTGGGGGGTAGGGGTCTGGGGCTCGCGTGTGGCCCCCTACCTCCTCTGCCGCCTGCCGCTGCCGGCTGCCCGGGAGGCTATTTCCACGCGCTCTTCTACAAGCAGGGCGCCCCGTCCGTGCGCCGTGCCTTCCGGGCCGCGGGCGTGGAGGCGGCGCGCCTCCCTCCCTTGGCTCGGAGGAGCGAGGAGTCTCTGGCCCCGCCTTGGCTTTGGGCAGGGCGGGGCTGGGCAGGCTGGGCGGACGGGGCGGGGGGGGGGATAATCAGATGATGAAAAGCTACCCATACCTTCACCCTGGGGCCGTTTTCCCCTTTGGGAGCCTCCTGGTTGGAGGAGGAGGAGGAGGAGGAGGAGGAGGAGGAAGAGGAGGAGGAGGAGGAGGAGGAGGAGGAGGAGGAGACGGAGGCGGAGGCGGAGGCGGAGGATTTTTTTTGGGCACTTTGGCTCCCGCTGCATGCTTAAAGCACACTGTAAGTGTCTGGAAGTAAGGTGACCCCTTTCGCTTTAGGATGGAGTCCCTTACAAATCTTGTTCCAAGCGTCAGAGTTGTAAGCCGAAACTTTCTGGCCTGGACAAGTCTTGTTGAGAGCTGCTAGGCGGGCTCCACTAGTGTATCTCTGGCACACAGTACAAACGACAACAAACGACCCGTTCGAACAATCCAGGAGGATACACTTGTGGTTTAAAGCTCTAAGCCGCCGAACATCCACTTTCAACGAATCAGAACAGTGGCCAGGGGCAGGCTCTTTGTCAGCGGCGTTGCGCGACGTCCTGAGGCACCCTTGACAACTCCAAAAACGTTGGTCCCCTCCAGGCGGCCCCAGCCACTCCCACCGATGGGGCGAAACAGGAGTGCGAGGGGCAGGAGTAGGCGCAGACCAAGATGCACGGGAGAGGTCCGTGCGCGGCCAGAGTGGCAGAAGCGCTGCGCACAGTTTGACCGCCATTAGAGCCGAATTCACTAGAGCTGAGCATTCGTTGGCTACCTCCTCCGACGGCGCCTGATGGGAGTCTGCCCCCAACCTGGCGGCCCTGTCGGCGAAGTCGTTCCCGATCCTTCGAAACCGCTCATCGTCGTCGATCTCGGGATCATCGATGGGAAGGTGTGCGGACACTTTCTCACATCCAAGCGTCCATTTTCCCCCCAGAGAACGACCCTGCGTCACAAGCCCCGAATATGGACGCTTGGGAGAAAGCTGCTCATGTCGGGCCATGCCGTGCATGGAAACTACATTTCCCTACGGTTGCGAAGTTCTCCCTGGGAGACCGGTGGCTGGCGGTCTCCCAGGGGAAGCCGGCCTTGAAGCCAACTTCCTGGGAGACCGGAACTTTCCTGGGAGACCGGAGTTTTCCTGGGAGACCGGAGATTTTGAGCCAAAATGGCTATATATACGCAAGAAGGAAGGAGGAGGAGGAGGAGGAGGAGGAGGAGGAGGAGGAGGAGGAGGAGGAGGAGAGGAGACGAGGAGGAGGAGGAGGAGGAGGGGAGGAGGAGGATCAGAGAGGAGGGGAGGAGGAGGCGAGGAGGAGGAAGGAGGGAGGAGGAGGAGGGAGAGGAGGAGGAGGAGGAGGAGGAGGAGAGAGAAGAATGACGAGGATGAGGAGGACGAGGAGGAGGAGGACGAGGACGGGGATCCTCGAGGAGGTGCAGGAGGAGGGGGAGGAGAGAGAGAGGAGACGGAGAAGGAGGAGGGAGGAGGAGCGGAAGCGTTTTTTGTATGTATGTATGTATGTATGTATGTATGTATGCATGCATGCATGCATGCATGCATGTATGTATGATGTATATGTATATGTATTGTATATGTTTATGTATGTGTATTTGTATTTATATATATATATATATGTGTATGTATGTATATGTGTGTGTATGTATGTATGTATGTATGTATGTATGTATGTATGTATGTATGCATGCATGCATGTATGTATGTATGTATGTATGTATGTATGTATGTATGTATACATGCATGTATGTATGTATGTATGAATGTATGCATGTATGTATGTATGTATGTATGTATGTATGTATGTATGTATGTATGTATGTATACATGCATGTATGTATGTATGTATGAATGTATGCATGTATGTATGTATGTATGTATGTATGTATGTGTGTATGTATGTATGTATGTATGCATACATGCATGCATGCATGCATGCATGTCTGTATTTATGTATGTATGTATGTATGTATATGTAGGTATATATATAGACACATACATGTATATATATATATATATATATATATATATGTTGAAACACCTCATTATAAGGAGGAGGACGAGGAAGAGGAAGAGGAAGGAGGAGGAGGAGGAGGAGGAAAGCTGCAGCAGGGAGAAAGAGGAAGAAGACCCCCTTGGCGCCGTCGCGGCGGCGGCGTCGGCAGGCGACGGCGGCGGAGGCGGAAGGAGGAGGAGGAGCAGCAGCAGCAGCAACAGCAGGAGGAGGAGGAGGAAAAGTAGCCGAGGAGGAACAGGCAGAGCAGGAGGAGGAGGAGGAGGAGGAGGCACGATTGCCCACGACAACAGACGACGCCAGCCGCGGCGCCGCGGTTCTCGTCGTGCGCCGCCACGCGCAGACCACTAATCACCAGCATTCGACGGCTTCAGGCCCGAAAGCAGGGCCGCCATCACCAAACCTAATTGATTCGAAGCCGTGTCATCGCTCAGGAGCCTCATTTCGCTCTCCTTCTCCACGCGTGTGCGAACGTTCAAATCATAGCCCATCAAACTGCACCGCTCCTCTGGAGTCAGAAACCTGTCGTAGTTGTGTCCTCGGGGTTGAATGCCAAGGAGCCACAAGTTCGGCATGTCGTGGCTTATCTCGACCGTGTCGTCGAAGTCAAACTGGGAAGCAGAGAATGACGAGGAGGATGAGGAGGAGAAGGAGGAGGAGGACGAGGAGGAGGAGGAGGAGGAGGAGGAGAAGAAGGAGGAGGAGGAGGAGGAGGGGGAAGAGGGGGAGGAGGAGAAGGAGGAGGAGGAGGAGGAGGAGGAAGAGGGGAGGCCCCCCCCCCCGCCGCAGCGAAGACGGCCGCTGGGCCGCTCCTCCTTCCTCCTCCTCCTCCTCCTCCTCCTCCTCCTCCTCCTCTTCGTTCCTCCTCTTCCTCCTCCTCCTCTTCCTTCTCCTCCTCTTCCATCTCGCCGTGCTCTCCCCATGCCTCGGTCAGTTCCCCAGGCGCGCGGTCCAGGTCGAACACGCACACCGTGTCGGGGGGGATCCTCTCTTTGACGGTCTCCAGGGCGGCCTTGTACATCTGCAGGTTCTTCTCCTTTCGGAGGGTTTCCCTCTTTCGAGGGAACGCGCGATGAGGTTGCGATTAAGTTTCGATGAGGTTTCGATGAGGCTGCGACGTCGCAGCCTCGAAACCTCATCGAATCCCGATCGCAACTTCATCTCTCGTGCGTTCCCCCCTGTGGGCCCCTTGAGGCCTGGAACTCCGTGAGCTCTTGCCGACGGGGGTTCATCCAGTGTGGAGCTTCGCTCTCGTTCAGGAACTCACGCATGCGAGGTTTCTCGATCGTGACCTCGCTCGCCCTGGTGAGGGGCCCCTGCGTCTCGAAGAACTCGTCGCATCGCCCGCATACGTACAGCCTCGGCAGGAGGGGGCCGAGGAGGAAGAGGAGGAAGGGGGCTGGGAGAAAGGACATCGGAGAAGGCGACGAGGAGGATATGTTTGATTGCAAGCCTCTGCCGCCGTAGCGGTAGCCCACACTGAGCAGCGCTCACTTTGTCGCACCACAGAGACCAGCCACCTGCAACGTTGTCTGTCAGCCACCGCATGATCTCCTCGAGAGGGGTATCGGAGTCATCTTGAAACTCGCACAGCTCTGGTTTGAGCTCGATCACGAAAGCGCAGAAATTTGAAATCTTTTTTGTTGCGAACTTGATGTTGGCCAAGACCATACAGAGTGCACAGCAGTGCGGGTCGTCCCAATCGATTGTTCCTGCAGAGTCAGGGCATGGCGGGGTGCAGATTGCGACGTCGATGTCGTGAAGCTGGTCGGGATGGTAACTGCAGATGTTCCCACTTGTGGGGCCTATGAAGACACCATCTGAACTGCCGTGTTCGAATATCACCTGGTTCTCAACATGTTTATCAATATCGAATGACATCGCTTCCACTTCCATGTTAAGTTTCTTGAGTACCATCAGCCCAGTGCACAAACCACAGCATGGCAGCCAGACCTTCAGGATCTCGCCTCTGGATTCTGGCTTGAGAATGTCCATTGCAGCCGTCTCCCAATCATCCTCTACTGGGGTAGCTGGTACCCTACGGCGTGGCGGTGCCATGTCCGTTGCCAGGCTCGAGCCAGTGCGCTCTTACAGGAGGAGCCCCTGGACATGTCACTGGCCTCAATGCGGGCCTGGTTTACTGTGCGTTCGGTTTGCATTGGAGGTCGGGGGAGGTGAGGGGTGGGAGGAAGAAAGAAAGAGGAGAAGGGGGAGGAGAAGGAGGAAGAGGGGACGAATAAGGAGGAGAAGGATGAGGAGGAGGGTAACGAGATGAGAACGAGGACGCCCCCGATTTTCATCAACATGCCCAGGCAGAGTTCGGTTCAACGTAAGGCAGCAAACGAACTCTGGTGAAAATACCATGCTCCCACCTTCCATGGGATGCTGCCGAACCTATGCCAGCTAAAACGCGGTTAAGCCCCTCGTCCAGGAAACAATGGAAAAAAACGAGGATTCCCTGTTCTCTTCACATCCAGTGTGAGATGTATAAACAAGTGAGCCTTAGGCTTCAGGGCTGAATCGTCGACCACCTTCATCATATTGATAAAACGAACTGCGCATTCCAGCAAGCGGTGTCGGCGATCAGGCTGTATAACCCTTGGGGAATTCCTCACAATAGTAAGCCACTCCTGCAATGCAGCGCCTGCCACGGAAAGTTCTTCACTAAATGGGAATCTCTCAGCAAACCGATCGCACAGAGAAAACGCATACGGTAATAACGAGCCAGCTTCGGCAGCTTTTAGCTTTACCTCCCGAGACCAATCGGAGCCCATCATTTTTGGCGTGAGTTTCCGGAGCTGGTTTTCACGAGGAATCTTTGCAACATCTTTGTACCACCGCTGAATGTCCAGTTCAATGCAACGAATGCTCATTTCAATCACAGCAGCTCTGGGGCCCGAAACGTTCCA